TTTTTCCTGGGCTTTTTCTCTCGTTTTATCCACGAGAAGAATATCATCAGCAAAAAGCATACACCAAGGTACATCCTCCTGTAGATGTACAGTAAGACCACCCATAACTAAAGCAAAAAGATATGGGCTTAAAGCCGATCCCTGATGTAATCCAATAGAAATAGGAAAATATTTTGTCAATCCTCCTTCAGTTTGAACACAAGTAACAACTCTAGTATACATATCTTTAATGTACTCTCCATCAAACCTCTAAGAAAATGTATAACTTCATAGTAGACCTGCCCGGGATGAGAAATTTTGTATCAAGTTTTGACCTGTAAGAAAACCTAAATTTCCCTTTTCTTTTCGCATAATATCAATTAGACTGCTTAACTTAATCGTAACTTTCCTTTCCTTCTCTGATCCGAAGCTTTCCTTTCCTATTTCGATGTTCTCCCACCCCCTCTTTTGACTATTTAAGGAAGAATGAGGGTAGGACATCACCAATTTCTCTTATACAACCACTGTTTTGCTTTCTCTCGATTTCTCCCAAAAACATCGCCTTGTTGTCAAAAATCCTGGGTACAATCGGAATTAGAGCTAGCTGGGAAGGTAAAAACGGGATCGTGGCATACCAAGGCCACTGAAGCTCCTACATGTCTCCTCCTTCCGTAGCTCCTACCCAAAACCATCGAGGAAGGTAACCCTCGCCTTCCTCCCTCTCGCGTACATCAGCCTAGGAAACCCGTAAATTGACATCCAACTAGATTTGCTAAACTAAGGGTTGAGGTAAATTGACAAGAAACAGTATTTAAGAAGAGGTAGGAGTAAAGTATATTTTTTGTGTTGTTTATTAGGTTATCTTACGCATATCAATTTTCCTTAATAAAACTTAAATTAATATTTCTCCTCCTTATCAAACTTAGTAGGTCAATATTCATAATTTTTTCTTTTAAAAATATAATAATAATAATAATAATAATAATAAAATAATAAGAGTAATAATAATAATAATGAACATCGACTAGGTTATACCGAAGTAATGTTAAAACTTAATTGCATAATTAATCTTATTTTCTAATTGGTGTAGGATCGATAGTCGAACCGTTGAATTTGTAGAAGTGTTGCTTTTGTCGCCTCAAGTTAAGTAACTGTTCTTTATTATAGGTTAAATGTAGTCTTCCTAGTTAGGGATGTTATCCTTGCTAATTATATTAGATTTCGAGCTAATTATAGGTTTGTCATTTGTACCCCTTTAAATTTCATTCATATAGTTACAGCAATTTATATTTATGCTCATGATGACCTTAATGTGTGATTAACATTGTTTATTGTTACTTAGTTCTGTATTTAATTGTTCACATTTCATGATTTTAATAGTCTTGCCAAAGCATAAAATTTCAACATTGCGACTCTCATGGAGGTGGCAACACATAATGTTACCCAAGCGTTACAAGCTAACTGTACAGACCAAATTGCATGAGTGATCCAAGTTGTCCAACAAGTGGTGCAACCAGCACTACAAGTCACAATCAGTACCACCAATGGCCACCATGGAGGCTCAACCCAATCAATGAATGGTAGTGACCAATGAGAGCACTATGGATCGAGTGATGGATCAATTTCAAAAGACCCACCCTCCAAGGTTCAATGGCACGGTGGACTCAGATGCATGGTTGCATTATATCGAGAAGAGGCTGCTCTAAAGACCGTAAGGTGGACATTGCCAGATTTCATTTGTGTGAAGGAGCTGACGATTAGTGAGAAAGTCACTGTCGCAAAACGTTTGAACCAAACACGATAGTTTCCTAGGCAGATTTCGAGAGAACTTTCCTGGAAGTAATATTTCTTTTTAGCAGGTCCGGCCAAGCTCATGAATGATTTAAGAAAACTGGAGCAAGGAACAAAGAGCATTCAAGAGTACAATACGCAACTTGTCAGGACCTTTCGTTTCATTAC